CATGATCGATATTACAATCAGAAACACCTGCATGACACCATAGGGTTATGCCTGTGGCCCTGACACATGTCAAAATTTGGAACTTCGTCTTCAAAATACATTTTTGGGGGCGTTTTTTACCTCGAAAAAAACTGTAAATTTTTGAACTTGTACCGGGAAAACACGAAATGTATGACGTCATAACTGTGTTTACATACCCTCATGCAAATACGGCTATCAACCAATCACAGCGTACGTACTATTTGATTTATTTTATAAATTGATTTGGTAGGCGACCCTGTGGCAAAAGCGATTGCGCATGTTCGGAAAAATAATAACAAATACTAATCCAAGTACCGAGCAGCTGTCGAGAACGATGTTGTCCCACAATAACGTATGCTATAAGCTATGTTTTCCATTCTCAAATGTTTCCGAAGATTTTCCGAAGATTTTTCAAACATGCGCAGTAAGTTTCATGTCAAAAATTTACTTGAGTATTTATGTGAACTGAGTATGTTTTGTTGGCGTTTCTTAGCTGTTTCAGGGCAACACCATTTCTTTTACTCCAACGAAGCACTGGCTTGCAAACGCTTTCGAAGCCATGACGATCAGAATAATTCCAACAAAGTGGGAGATCTTGATATGCTTGAGGTTGGAACTTTATGGGTGTCTCATCAAGGGATCTGCTAGTACGTATGGTCGAAAATACATGTGTTAACTAGCTAGTAATAAGAAAATGGACCATGCATGTTGTTGTCGCTGCTGTTGTCCTTGTTTTTGTTGTTACTGTAGCTGTTGTTGTTACTGCTGTTGTTGCTACTGTTGTTGCTATTGTTGTTGCTGCTGTTGCTGTTGCTGCTGCTGCTGCTGCTGTTGCTGTTACTGCTACTCAGAGGGGCTTTTTCTGTCGTTGCATTACATTAAGTACTGCCTATCTGATTCACGTCTTTTACACCATTGATATATTTCCTGTCCTTTAATGTTTCCGCCAGACAACTGTATTTCACCCCTTGGTATGGAATCTGGTGAAATCACCGATGAAGCCTTGTCTGATCGTCGCGCATCTGTCGACCCATCTCACGGGATTCAACCAAAAAATGCACGCCTCAACGCCAAGATTACTAAGTTCCCTAACGGATGGGAATCAACTATCGAGACAGAATACCTTCAGGTTTGTGTGACTTGAGTATTGGGTGTGCCCTGTGATGTCGATCTGACCAGAAGTCATTTCTGCGGGGTTTAGTCTCAGCTCTTTAGTCTGTGAGTTAGCCATCTAATCCCAGGGTCGACGTGGGTCAAAATTTAACCCCTAATTAAAAAAGTCGGAGTCGAACCTTGTCTATCATATCACACCCTAGGCCAATCACATTGCGCGTGAATTTACTACTCTCCATCCAATAAAATACCCGGTACACGGGGCAAGCATATTTCCGCTAAAGTCACGGCACTGCCAGACCAGTAGTGCAGTTTTCTTATGACTGTGGAAAGCTCAGTGCCGTAAGCGTGACGTGACGTGCCGTGACCGTGATACTTTCTAGAATTGTAATTGTGTCCGCGCCGTGTTTATGCCGTGTTCCGGGTATTTGATTGGATGGAGAGTAAATTCTCGTGCAATGTGATTTGTCTGGCGTATCCCTTGCTGTGTCACGACCGTGTGCGTGCCGTGAACTTTTCACAGTAATACAAAAACTGCATTAATATTGCACGAGATACAAAGATTATTCTTTTGGCATTTTGGTTTTTGTTTCAGGTGGATTTTGGCTCGCTGCGTCGAGTGACTAAAGTAGCAACACAAGGAGCTTACACCACAGAGTCCTATACCTTGTTTTTTGTCAGTACGTATAAGCTGAGTTACAGCAAGAACAAGATTGACTGGACGGAATACGCAGAGAGTGGTTCAGTAAAGGTGCGTGTTCGACAATGTCCGTACAAACCAATCTACTGTAAAAATGGAGGATTGGAGATATTTTTGAATAATAGATTTAATATATTTTAATATTTTGCAACTTTCATTCCTGTTGAGTCCTTGGTGTCGCACCTACGTGCCACATAGGCATAAGGATGATGATGATGATTCCTATCACAGGTTCATGCTGTCACATGCATATACCTCATATGAGGTTCGCTCTACGCCGCATATCTTACTATTACCTTTAATATTCATACCAAACGACACTCAACGTTGCTTAATTTTAGTTTTGAGGGAGAAAAACGGACGGAGATCCCAAAAAATATCGATCCTAGCTAGTGGCAAGGAGCATGTCGACTGACCTCGGGTTTCGTTTTTCATTATCTGCAGTGACATTCGTCCGAATGTACTCCCCACCCTTTTCTAATCTCAGATTCCTGCCATCCCCTCCCCCCTTTTCTAATCTCAGATTCCTGACAGATTCGGCGCATGATTTCTGTTTTGTTTTTAGACGTTCAAAGGTCCTGTTACAGAATACGACGCCAAGTACCCAGTAGTCGAGACAATTCAATCTCCCTTTGTTGCTCGATATGTTCGGCTCTACCCTATGGATGCTGGTTCTGGAGGAGTGAAAGTCATGAGAGCAGAGTTGTATGGCTGCTTCCAGGAGCCTTTACCTCCTTATACTGGTAGGCTTCCTACTTGCGCAGTAGTGAAGGGAAGGGATAGTATAGAGGGAGGAGAGTATGAAGAATAAGAGGATGGGTTAAGAAGTGGGACCATCGATCCTGAACCCGAAAATGCCGGTACCCAGTTTTACACCCTGGTTAGAAAGAGGCTCTATTAAAAGGAAATGTTTTGCTACGAACATCGATCAGACAGATTACTCGACCTCTGCTCCCCTTAGGCTAGGGTGTCTCTAACCTACCAGAGGAATCTCTATTAGTGACTAACCAAAATAAAACATAAATAAGGGGCCCCTAATTCCGGCCATGCCTAGAACAACATTTTCTTACTTGTTTTGATATTGCAGGTTCTCCAGACCTTGAGTTCTATCGTCGATCTTTCATTGTTGATAGCACAACAGATCAATTCTACGTTTGTATGTATACTGACAACAGGTAAATCGATGTTTGTCATGCAAGGGTATTGGGAGAAGGGAGGGAGGGAGCAATATATTTTGAGGTTAGTAGGGAAGTGACTCATTGGAAAATCCCATGCACACCTCTGCAGCTTATCAGCACTTATTAATTTGTTTCAATTATTATTCGCTTAGAGATGAAAGCAGCTGCTTTAGCACCAAGGACTCAAAAGCTTGGACAGGTAAAAACTGCAACATTTGATCTTTTACTTCAAGGACGTATGACATATAGATCTGAATATTTGAAACGTTTTCCATATTTGAACATCTCTCGTTTGTCGCATTCATAATGTGTAGTACTGAAAACCTGGTTCAGTTCGATTCTATACTTATTTTTTATCTTGGGCAACTAGCCTCGACTTTGTGCTGATCTTTGCCTCGCTTTCATGTTTGTTTAGTTCTAACATATCTCTGTGATTGGATTATTACATTTCTGAGGAAAAACGTTTAATGTGAAATAGTGTCAAAGAGTTTTGAACCCAAATTATCTTGCCACACTACGATCGAGTTTCATTACCAAATAAGGTAGCTTTTCTAATCTGTGATCTTATTGGTTGATATATGATAGCCATCGATGCCAACATCATTGGAATGTTAGCCAGCAACCCACGTGACCGCGAGATCTACGCAATTGATCGACAGATGAACATTTATCGGAGCAAAGATTCAGGTGCATCTTGGTCCCAGATCTCTCGCGAATATTACTAAAGTGTTGCCAAGGAGACAACAGTAAACAAAGCGAAGGGAATAGCTGAGAACTTTGTCTCCAGTCTCCCTACGACAAATACGACCGTGATTTCTTCGAAAGGAGAAAAATGGGGAGGTATGTGAAGTTGGATGAAGTTTACTATAGGTTGTTTGGAATCATTCCTAAGGGAAGAAAGTGGTAGCCATGTTGGATGGTGTTCACTATAGGTAGTTTGGAATCATTCCTAAGGGAATAAAAGTGGCAGCCATGTTGGATGATGTTCACTATAGGTGGTTTATAATCATTCCTAAGGGAATAAAAGTGGCGGCCATATTGGATGGTGTTCACTATAGGTAGTTTGGAATCATTCCTAAGGGAATAAAAGTGGCAGCCATGTTGGATGATGTTTACTATAGGTTTTGGAATCATTCCTAAGGGAATAAAAGTGTCAGCCATGTTGGATGATGTTCACTATAGGTGGTTTGTAATCATTCCTAAGGGAATAAAAGTGGCGGCCATGTTGGATGGTGTTCACTATAGGTAGTTTGGAATCATTCCTAAGGGAATAAAAGTGGCGGCCA